GTTTTAAAAATAGCTTTGCCACTCCTTCCGAGGTAATTGTTTTATGGCAAGGAGTAATGATCACCCCCTTACTAAGTCCGTGGTCTACCACGACCATGACACTATCAAAGCCAGATGAAACGGGGAGATCAGTAATGAGATCGACAGAGATTTGGGAAAAGGGGCGAGTAGCCATAGTACTGATAGGGTGTAGAGGTGGAGTTACAGGGTGAGTGTCCACCTTCATCTGTTGGCACGTAGCGCAGCCATCGACGTAATTGCGGATATAAGTGCCCATACTGGGCCACCAGGCTTCCCGCTTGACGAGTTCTTCGGTTTTAAAGCGTCCGGGATGTCCTGCCGAAGGGTGATCATGATGCTTCCGGAGTAATTGCGGGCGATGTGCGGGAGGGATATAAGCTCTATCTTTGTAGAATAGAATACCATCGGCGATACGCCAGTCGCTAAGCGATGATTTCATAGGAGGCAAACATAGGCCATTAAGGGCATCTTGTGCGGCAGAGAAGAGGGGGTCGGCAAGGGGTGCGGTGGAAGCAATAGCTGCTCGTAATTCATCATCGATTAGCCGGATAAACATGGAATCAGGAAGGAGGACGGCGTCAGCATTATCTCCTGATCCGTCGCCATGGTCCGGCCGGCGAGAAAGGGCATCCGGAACTGCTAATTTCGTACCGGGAACGTGATATAACTTTAAGTCGAAAGAAGTGAGGAGTAGTTGCCATCTGGCCTGCCTTCTAGATAGGCGTTCTGCTTTTGCGAAATAGAGGAGGTTCATATGATCAGTAAACACAATAACCGGTTGTGGATGTCCTTCGAGGTAGTGTCGCCAATGGGTGAGGGCGCGGATAATAGCCAACAGCTCGCGATCATGAATGGGGTAATTCCTTTCAGCAGGACTGAACGACTGCGATAGGTATGCACACGGGTGATAGACGCCATTAGTGTCAGTCTGCAGCAATACTCCTCCTGATGCGACAAGAGAAGCATCCGTAGCGATGGCGAATTGATGGTGGGGATCAGGGTTCTGAAGAACAGGGTGTGAAGTGAAGCATTCTTTTAGCTTCTCGAACGTTTGCTGGCACAGGGGCGTCCAAGAGAATGAGACATCCTTCTTCGTTAGGTCGATAAGGGGTCGAGCTATATCCGAGTAGTGGGAAACGAAGGTTCGGTAGAAGTTGCAAAAGCCCAAAAAAGATCGAACATCTTTTACTGTTTCAGGGGTGGGCCAGTCCTTGATGCCTGCCGTCTTCCCTTTATCCATTTCTACGCTTCCTGGTTTGATAATCATTCCAAGGTATTCCACTTCTTCCGCATCGAACGTGCATTTCTCCGGTTTAACAAATAATTTTTCTTTTCGAAGTTTGTCTAGAATGATGCAGGTTCGTTGTTGGTGTTCAGTGGTTGTTTCGGAGAAGATGAGCATATCGTCCATGTAGATGACGAGCCATCCTTCGTTGAGTTCAGCTCTGAACGTATCGTTCATATACGCTTGGAAAGTGGCGGGGGAATTGCATAATCCGAAGAACATGACCGTGGGTTCAAACAGTCCTTCTTCCGTGATGAACGCGGCTTTCCACCTGTCATCCGGATGAATCCGAATGTTATTGTATCCGGATCGAATATCAATTTTTGTGAATATCTTTGCGCCATGTAACCGTTCAACCAAAGATGATGGGAGTGGCAGGGGGTACGCGTTTTTGATAGTCTGGTCATTCAAGAAGCGGTAGTCCTGGCATGGTCTAAGTTCTCCGCTTTTCTTTCCTACAAAAAAGAATCCGCTTGCTTGAGGGGATTTAGATTTCGTGATGAACCCTTTGGCAAGGTTTTCTTCGATAAATCTTTTTACTGCGCTTCGTTCGTTGTAGGAAAGGGGGTAAATTTTGGACGTCTTGGGAATAAATCCGGGCTTCGTTTCGATACGATGGTCGATACCGGGTCTCTTGGGGGGTAGTTCGTTCAAGCCGTTTTTTGCGAATACGTCAGAGAAATTATGGAGATACTTCGGTACCAATTCTTCAAAAGTTTTTTTCTTCTTCTCTTTTTCTTCAGAGGCGAACTCCTGTGCTTTGTTACTAAACTTGGAAGATTTTTCGACTTGTCGGAGATATTCTCCTTCGTCCGTAAGTTCGGTTAGGGATGATGGTGACGTACTCCAAGCGTCTTCTTTTGTATTGAACTTCTTAGTGAAGAAGGTTTTCTGTGGTCGAGAGGTTTGCTTGACATATTTTTCAATTTCGGCAGATTTTTCTGTTGCTGGAAGGGATACCGTTTGTTTGGTCCAGTCTATAGCGGGGTTCATGGCTCGAAGCCAGGGGATCCCTAGTAGGATCTGGTCCTTGTCTCCTAACTTGGTAATGTTGAATTTTCCTATCATCATCCTTTGGTCGATTTGGACGATTAGCGTGCAGTACCGTTCTACTGGTCCGCTGCTGAAGTAGCTTCCATCGGCGGTTTTAATGTAAAAAGGGTTTTCGAGTTTCTTGGTTCCAATGTTATGTTTCTTCACGAAGTCCTCGGAGATATAGGTTCCCGATGCTCCGGAGTCAATTACTGCGGTGGTTTCGACATTTTTCTGACGCGTTCGGGATACGAGGGTTATGGGGACACGAAGTTCTTTCTTTTCACCAACTGTTCGTATTAGGCGTACAGGTTTTGCTGGAGATGCTATTGTCGATATAGGTCTCCTGTTTAAAAATCCTCATCAATTCTTCTAGCTTCTTCTTCTTCCTCTACCTTCCTCACTGCTGGGTAGGGGGCTTTCTTCTTCTGCGGACATTCCCGTGCCCGATGTCCGATCTGGTGACAGTTGAAACATTTTCCTGTCCTCATGTATTCTTGCTTGGCTTCGTCGGTGATCCGATCAATAACCATGGCATCCCTATCTCTGGCTGGGATATATCTTTGATCTCCGCGACCGTTCTTCTTCTGGATTTGTCGGGAAGGAAACCTGCTTCTCCGAGCTAGCAATCTTGCGTAGCAATTATCCAGATCGACTACCGCAGCGATGTAGTCATCGAGGTTCTTGGGTACCCCTCCCGCGTTGAACATTTTGGTTAGAAGTCCTCCGTTGAGGCCGTTTTCGAAATGATAGATCATCATATGTTCTTCTTTGATCTTTGCTTGGGCAAGCAACCTTTTGAAGTCTGCAATGTACGTCTGCAGGCCTTCTGGGCCTTGTTTTAATTCCAGGAGTCGTGCCAATGCGGTCCCGGATGGGTCAATCGGTCCGAAGGCTTTGTCAAAGCTTTCGTTAAACTCTTTCAAGGTTCCATAGCCCTTCTTTTGTCCCGTTGAGTCGATGAATTGGGCTTCTGCGAGGAATTCTTCTTTCCATGACCTAGCATTTCCTTCGTTCATGAACGAGGAGATAAAGATCACTTTCTGAGTGTCGGTTTTATAGATTTCCGAGTTGATATCAATGTAAGCATTGCATGAGAGCATGAATGACTTGGACTTGTCTCTGTCGCCATCAAATGTAGGAGGATGGTTGATCTTGAATTCTGTTGTCTTGGATGAGGCCGACATGTTCAATGGTGGTACAGGAGTACCAAGGTTCAGGGCTTGGAAGGTAGGGGTGAGTGAAGTCAGGTTGTCGCCTTTTTTTCTTCGCCTGCACTAGCTGTCTTGCTCAGTCAGGATCTTTCTGTTCTGGTTTCGAAGTTTCTTTGACACGTATGGATATAGGTGTCTTTCTGGACTTCAATCTTTTGTTACGAACTAGGATAGTTCTTAACAACAAAGGCTCGACAGAGCGTTCACGTTGTTGAGATCTTGTATAGCTCTTCAGATAAGAAGAGGTTCGTGGACTTTAGTCAAAGGAGTGCTTTGACAAAGAGATCGGTTCAGACGTCTTAAGATTGGTGGTCTTAAGCGAAGGAAGTTTTCAGGGTAAAACCTAGTAAGATTGAAGTGACGTTTCTAAGTAAAGTACACGTGCTTAAATAGGAAACTATATGCGCACGGACCAAGGCTACGGTGAGATAATAGTACAAAGGTCGAATACGGAAGTAAGACCAAGAAAGGAAAGCTAAGCTGCTAAGAATGTAAGGCGTAATGGCAGATACGTGAGAAGTAAAGAAAGTAGAGCGATTGTAACACCCACTGATATGAGATCTGGACCTGTGAAAATTGTGCGTCTCTCATTGGTGATCTCTCTCACACTTTTCTGACTTGTGGATCATATCATACTCATCTCAGTGTCACTCTACCCCTCCTTTGGCAATTCCCTGCTACCTCAGTCTACAAGTGGGTCTCATACATTGTGGTAGATTCGCTACCCTCGTAGTTGGCTGTGTTGATCGATTGGTTGATTGGTCCAGACTCCACATGGTATTGCCCATACAATGACTGTCATGCCCTATCTCACTCCTCTTTTTTTAGCTACCACCATGAGCTTGTGTCTCACCTCTCATATCATTATTCATGATGTACGCCCATTTTTGCCCTCGCCAATGAGGATACATCGCAGGTGCTTCAGCTGGTTTGGAGAACAGATGGGGGACAATGGATCGCGGTTGGTGGTGCGGATTGGATGGTGTGTGTTTGGGACATCAAGAGTGGGCATGCATTGTACAAGGTTAGTGTCATCCCATTTGACTTCTTGCGTGCAACTTACCATCTTTTTAGCTGCTGGTATCAGAACACAGGAACAAACTGTTAGACATTTTCGAAATTGTGAGTGTACTGTACTTTGTGAACTTCCCTGCTCAATCTATGTAGGGTTCACATCAAAGGTTACATTCAAGCTTTCCAAGAACACTTGACTCACTTCAACCCTATCAGCGAGCCAGCTTTAGCTCCATCCATATCTATTCTTGTGCTGTCTGTGCCTACTGAGTTTAAAAGTGTCCTCAAACCAGAAAGTATCGATGTCAATGGCCCCCGCTTGAGCCAGAAGATACTGCTGTATTGGCTGAGATCCTAATTGTACCTGTCAGCAATGATCTGGCCTTGACAAGCCCTCAACATTGCAACTGGATACCTTAACCTCTACTACTCTGATGCTCAATTGTGCAGATACATCAACCCCTTATTATGCTGAGGTAGTTTCAGTCTTGAAGAGCATATTTGGGCTGTCTTCCTTTAGGCAAAACCAACTTGAAGTTATCAACGCCATACTGGATGGAAAAAATGTCTTCGTCGTAACACCCACCGGTGGTGAGAAAAGTCTTTGTTGTCAACTTCTGGCAGTCTGTAAGAATGATAGGACCCAGTGAGTAACATTTGTCATATTACCACTTGTTGCACTCATTGCCAATTAAGTGGCATCCTTGCGAGAGAAGCACATTAATGTTGACTGTCTAAGAATTGTAGACAACTCGCAGGATGTCATATGTTGCCTTCAAAGCCAGCAAAAACACGACATTTGCTATATCACTCCCGAAAAGCTATGCAAGAGCAATGCCATGCAAGATATCCAAGCTCATTGCTACCACCTCGGACGATGGAACTGTAGTATGTGTGTGGGAGGGTGGCAAAGATGGTTTGAAGAGCAGCATTGTAGTGTTTGAACTCAGATGTCCAGCAACATGTGTCGCATAGAGTGCGGATGGGCTGAACCTTTATATTGGTGCATTAGACAACAAAATTTATGTATATGACTTATGCAAGGGTGAGCAGGTTTATGCCCTGACTGGTCATACATACATTTGCATTATCATCCAATGATGCCTACCTCCTCTTGTCAAGCTTATGCTACAATGTTCAACACATCATTGGATTGCTTGTAATTTATAAATATGGCCAGAGCCAGCTTGAAGGCCATAAACATGGCTCCATGGACTGGCCCAGACCATAAATGACATAAGCTATAACTAGTTACATAGCTCCACTAACTACAGCTCCGCTCATGGCTAGAGCCAGACATAAGCCGGAACCGCAGCAACACTACTCAAGGGGGATGTTAGAAATTAATGTTAAAACTGACAAAATGCAGGATAAATATACCTTGGGGATTCACTTCTGAGTGGATTCATTGGGAGCACATCTAATTGGTCTTAGCCAAGCAGTTAATCCGACCAAATCCAAATCTGTCTGTGCAGGTTAAAAACCTGTCAAAGATGAAATTGCAAGTGATCATCAGAGTCAAAATCTGTTTCTCTTGGACTGGGCAGGTTTGAAACCTACCAATGATGACATTTTTATTTTATGAAATCACACCCTGTCCCATACCAAGCACTGTATTTTTATGTGCACCCTACATTACACGTTCATCTATTGTCCAATCCAACACTGCTGGTATATTTTCATCATTGTATTTTTATGTTATGGTGAAGGATACTGCCATCTACAGACCACAATGTATAGATGCAAGAGAAGCATTCTTGCTACATTCTGCTGCAAAACTAGTATAAAGCAGTCACACCTGGGCTGCATTGAAAAAGATAAAATAGACATGAATGATATCACTTTGATGAATACTTCAAAATATCTAACTGCCCCTATTTTCTTGCACTTGGGTCTCTGAGAATCTATACACTGCAAAATATTTTGCAAGCAAGTTTTGAATCTGCATGGTTTAAAAGAAACAGATTTTGACTCTGTTGCAACATCTACTTGGCTAAGACAAGTGATATGAAGCTCTCAGGAAGGTATACATGAGTTGATGTTAAGGTGTGTTCTAACAGGAAAAAAACATATATCAATCATGAGGAAATGTCAAGGTGTGATTTTATAGAATAAAAATGATATCATTGGCAGGTTTTAAACTTGCACATTCCAAGAGAAATACATTCTGATTCTGGAAATCACTTGGAAATTTGATCCTTGGTAGGTTTTGAACCCACACAGATAGATTTAGATTCTGTCACATGAACTGCTTGACTAAGACCGGTGAGATACACTTCTAACGAACTCATTCAGAAGTGAATCCTCAAGGCACATTTATCTGCATTTTGTCAGTTCTTTCAATAGCATGGTCACTGTTTATTCTTTTATCCTTGATGCAAATTCAGAATGATAAGCACAAGAGCAATTTAATTTTCTCCAAAGGTCTTTACTTGGTTGAAGAAAAAGAGCAGACATATCAAACTTTTAAGTTTGATCCCAATGACCTGGGTAATAAGGAAGAAATACACATCTGTAAAGGCTGAGATTCAAGGCAAAAATTCAAAAGCGCCATCTGACCACTATTTGCTCATGTATAAGGTTGAGGTGCACTGTGTTTGAGACCCTTTCATCATTATGTTACTCTTCTTTTGCTTTTGAAAGTGCTGTATTGCAGTCTATATTTAATTTATCTGTTCAACTGAGGGAAAACATTGTGAGCAACAGAGAATAGTGGACTTGCCTTATGAATTCACATCTAAATGCTTTCTTGAAAGATGCTTCTAACTGTTCTTAGCCAAGCAGTTGATGTGACAGAATCCAAATCTGTCTGTGTGGGTTCAAAACCTGCTAAAGATGAAATTATCAAGTGATCATCATAGTCAAAATCTGTTTCTCTTGGACAGCGCAGGTTTGAAACCTGCTGATGATAACATTTTTATTTGATGAAAATGCACCTTGATATATATATGACTAACACCAGTTAGATGCATCTTTAAAGAGACCATTAAGAAGTGAATCTGCAAGGCAAGTCTACCATTACCTTTTACTTGTAATGTTTTCCTAATTCCTCAGGTTATTAGGATCAAACTTGAAAGTTCAATGTGTAATCTGCTCTTTTTATTTTCCAAACCTTTAGAAAGAATTATATTCTTATTGTACTCATCCTTCTGAGTTTGCATCTGGACTTTGTTCATATATTAAACTCTGTGTCAAAAATACACTGTGTAATCCTTTCATTGTCAGTTTTCACTCATGGACTTACCATTGTAGATGAGGAATGTGAAGGATAGGTAAATGGGTGATATGAGATACACTCAGATGGTCCTCTGTGCATGAGCTAATGTCGGCCCAAGGGGATTGCTACTGAGAAGGTTCCTCTATGTATATAATGGAGGGAAAACACTCAACCGGTTTAGTCGAGCCTGGTAAGGCATGCAAAAGAGTGAGAGCACTGTGAAGCACTGCTGAGCGATGAAGTGTAATAGCGCTCATTGGGTGGTTGGAGTGCAGCAACTCTAACTAAATTAAAAGACAAGTAAACAGAGGTTCTAGTGAGATGCACAACTGGCGCTCATATATATATATTCAGGTGCTTAGTGTCGGTCGGTGGTTTATTATGGAGAATTTAGACCTAGACTCCAATGATGTGTGGGAGAAAAAGATAATCATCATACAGCGAGACAGGAGTATATATATTCTATCCAAGTAGTGCTAAAGTGAAGCGAGTACATGATAGCATGTAATATAAGGGTCCATAACACAACATATGCAAGTGCCAGAGATATGTCAGAATAAACAGAAATATGATAAGAATATGCACCAACGAACTGAACAGACATGGAATGGATAGATGGAGGACAAGTGATGGAACTGAGGATGCATGTGCTGATGCGCATCAGAAGCGCTTGTATGTGCAGGTGGCCGATGAAGTGCCAAGAGCATGGAAATGAGATATGAGTTGCGCTGTACTTGAAAGGTGATTGGAACATTAGGGAATAAGACCTCTATGAGGCCACAGAGATGTCAGTCTCTACACCATGGTGGTCTGTCATCTGCACTTTTTCAGAGCAATTGCTAGATAAACAGGTCAAGAGGTCAAGAGTCCCAGAGGAAGTCTGATATCTTTTGCAATAAAAGCAGGATAAAAGAATCAACAGCGACCATGTGATTTAAGAACTGACAAAATGCAGATAAATGTGCCTTGAGGGTTCACTTCTGAATGAGTTCAGTGGAAGTGAATCTCACTGGTCTTAGCAAAGCAGTCGATACAACAGAATCTAAATCTGTCTGCATAGGTTCAAAACTGTCATATCCCGTATTCCGGACCTACATCCGATAATATTCCCATGCCTCATCCGGACCTTTGGATGTCCTATCCATGTCTCCAGTCCTCTACCCATCCGGATCCCTGCACCTCTGCACATCTACGTCCAGATCCCTTTACCTTTGCAGCTAGCCTACATCATTCATCCTTTATCCTATCACCCTAATACCATATCTCACATATCCACGCATCTTGTCTGGACCATATCCAATCTGATCTGATCCGATGTATAGATCCGTTTTCTATCTGATATACGATAAGCTCCTTAATTCATTTCCTGTGCATATAACGTTAACACAGCCTATCCGGTATTCTTTGTTTCTGGTATCTCAGTTATACTTACTACCAGTATGCTTACTGATCCATTAACCTATGCTTCATCTCCGACTCATGTTTGATAACTTTGCTTATGCTTTGTACATAGCCTCGGACCTTTGCTTATTGATCTTTCCGATAGTCACTTAGTATATAAACTCTTGTATATGTCTTGTAGTTCCTCAGTCTGAATATCATATTAGTCCTCGCACTAGTCTTCACACTAAATCCTCGTATCAAGTTCCAGTCCTTCAACTTAGTCATTATCTGTCTTAAGCCTAGGGAGTTTCTCCGTAGGCCAGAGCTTCGATCCTCCACTCATCTGAAGTTTCTGAAAGTCTATCCAGATCTTTCCTGCGGTCCTGCGGTCCTCCAGACCTATTCTGCTTCGGACTTTGTCCTTGCAGCCTCTCCTCTGTTTGCATCTACTCAGGACAAGTCCCAAGTAACCATTACATGTATCTGTATTAGAACAAAACCTCATTATAATTTCTGGAACTTTCCCACACTCATCCGGAAGTTACTTGCACCCGTCCAGAAAGTCCTTCCGAAGTTTCTGCACCTTCGGACATTCTTCGGATGTCTTCGGACATTCTTCGGACACCAATCTGAAATTAAGGGCACATACTCAGATAAGAGGTGCAGCGCACGAGCTGAAGCCAAGCCCCTCAGAATCAGTCCTACCCTTTGTGCATGGTCTTAACAAAAACCCACTAAAGATGAAATTTTCAAGTGATCACCAGAGTCAAAATCTGTTTCTCTTGGACAGTGCAGGTTTGAAACCTGCTGATGATAACATTTTTATTTGATGAAAATGCACCTTAACATATACATTGAGGATTCACTTCTGACTGGATTCATTAGGAGTGCATCTGACTGGTCTTAGCCAAGCAGTTGATGTGACAGAATCCAAATCTGTCTGCATGGGTTCAAAACCTGCTAAAGATGACATTGTCAAGTGATTATCAGAGTTAAAATCTGTGTGTCTTGGACTGCGTAGGTTTGAAACCTGCCAGTGATAGCATTTTTATTTCATGAAATCACACCTTGACATTTTGTCCTGAATGATATGTGCCTTGTAGGAGCATGTTTAGTGAGGCATATGTGCCTCTGTTTCTGGTTTTTGTAACTTAGCTTTCTACAGTGCACTATGACTGTATGGTTCATCATTATGAGCCATAGATAGTAGCTATTGGAATATAATAATCAAGAAGTTGACAGAAGAATCAAGAAGAAAAGTCAGAAGCATCTTTCAAGAAAACATTCAGATGTGAATTCATAAGGCAAGTCCACCATTCTCTGTTGCTCATAATGTTTTCCCTCAGCTGAACAGATGAATTAAATATAGACTGCAATATGGCACTTTCAAAAGCAAGAGGAGAGCAACATAATGATGAAAGGGTCTCAAACACAGTGCACCTCAATCTTATACATGAGCAAATAGTGGTCAGATGGCTCTTTTGAATCTTTGCCTTGAATCTATGTATGAAAATGTTCAGGTGATAACCCTTATTGGCGAAGAATGGTGAAACTCCGGTGGTAGCACTTGGAGCATTGAAGCAAGTCAGAAGTGCAGCAAATAGGCAAAATATGTAAGTCACTTCTGAATGGGTTCATTGGGAGTGTATAACTGGTATTAGCCAAGCAGTTGATGCAACAGAATCTAAATCTGCCTGCATGGGTTCAAAACCTCCTAAAGATGGATTTGTCAAGTGATCATCAGAGTCAAAATCTGTTTCTCTTGGACTACTCAGGTTTGAAACCTGCCAGTGATAAATTTTATTTTCTATGAAAACACACCTTGAAAAATTTGCTTATGGTCAGTTAGCTTGCCAGCTGATTACAGTTGTGTTTAGCTAAGTGGCTGTCATGACAGAATCCAAATCTGTTTCCATCAGAGTGCCACAAGTTTGAAACTTGTTGAATGTCATATTTTTCCTCTAAGAATGTGTCTTGAATATTTGCTCATAGACAGCATCTCAGAAATGGATCTTCATTGGTCTTGGTCAAGTTGTCACCAGATTTAAAATCTGTGTCTCTTTGACTGTGCAGGTTTAAAACCTGCCGATAACAACATTTTATTCTATGAAATACAGAATGGTGGAATGTGATGAATCATGAGTTAATGCAAAAGACACATCATTATATAGATTACAAACCTGCTTAGTTTAAGAGAAATATATTTTGACTCTGGCAATTACTTGAATAAGCACAATAAAGAATCTTAGCCTTAATGGATTTGTGTTTTTCCTAATTCCCCAGGTTATTAGGATCAAACTTGAAATTTTGATGTGTAATCTGCTTTTTTTCTTCTTCAACCAAGTCAAGACCTTTAGAAAGAATTATATTATTATTGTACTTATCCTTCTGAGTTTGCATCAAGACTTCGGTCATATATTGAACTCTGTCAAAAATACACTATGTGATCCTTTCATTGTCAGTTTTCACTCATGAACCACCATGGTGGTCTTCCATCAGCACTTTTTCAGGGAAATTGTTAGATAAACAGGTCTTAAAGTCAAGAGCCCTAGCAGAAAGTCTGTGTCTTTTGCAATAAGAGTAGGATAAAAAATCAACACTGGCCATGCTATTGAAAGAGCTGATAAAATGCAGATAAATGCACCTTAAGTACTTACCGTTGAATGAGTTCATTGGCAGTGCATCTTATTGGTCTTAGCCAAGCAGTTGATATGACAGAATCTAAATCTGTCTGCATAGGTTCAAAACCTGCTAAAGATGAAATTGTCAAGTAATCATCAGAGTCAAAATCTGTTTCTCTTGGACAGTGCAGGTTTGAAACCTGCTGATGATAATATTTTTATTTTATAAAAATGCACATTGACAGTCTGAAACCCATTGAATGCTGCATTTTTTGTATTAGAACATGCCTTGAAGATTGAATCATAGACAGTCTCTGATATCATTGATAGAGAGTGACTCGGACAATGTTCAACAGTTGACATGGATCATAAAACAAGTTACTGCAAGGATAGCAGTGGAACATGGTTCGATACACCAGCTTTGAGTTTTTTTGGTTTCTCTTCCAAGAAAGTCATAATGCCACCAGAAATTTGAGGTCTTCCAATTCATTTTAAGATTCATGTGGAAAATGTGAAGGTGTGATTTCATAGAATAAAAATAAAAATGTTATCATTGACAGGTTTCAAACCTGCACAGTTCAAGAGAAACAGATTTTGACTCTGGTGACAATTTGACTAAGATCAATGAAGATCAACATTTGAAATGCTGTATATGAGCAGATATCCAAGACATGTTCTAATGCACAAAATGTGTCACTCAACAGGCTTCAAACCCATAGACTTCAAAGGAAACAGATTTCAAATCTATTGTAGCAATGACATGGCTAACATCAGTTGAGATGAGTTGTTGAAAAAATCATTCATGGGACAATGTCAAGATGTGTTTTCATAGAAAATAAATTTCATCATTGGCCAGTTTCAAACCTGCACATTCCAAGAGAAACAGATTTTGACTCTGGTGATCACTTGATAATTTCATCTTCAGTAGGTTTTGAATACATGCGGACAGATTTAGATTCTGTAGGATCAACTGCTTGGCTAAGACCAGTGAGATGCACTCCCAAACACCTGCTTCATATGAAGAAGAAGAGCAGATTATACATCAAACTTTCAAGTTTGATCCTAATGACCTGGGGAATGAGGAAGAATACACATCTGTAAAGGCTGAGATTCAAGGCAAAGACTCAAAAGAGCAATCAGGCTACCATTCACTTATGTACAAGGTTGAAGTGTACTGTATTTGAGACCTTTTATCATTGTGTTGCTCTTCTCTTGCTTTTTGAAAGTGTTGTGTTGCAGTCTGTATTTAATTTATCTGTTCGGCTGAGGGAAAACATTGTGAGTGACAATCCTTACTTATATACTTGCTTTGCTTCTGACTTGCTTCCATGTCTTGTGAGCATGCTTAGAATTACTTATATAACACCACATCAGAAAAAAGGGATTTTACCATTTTTGGCTTTATATTCAAATAGAGCCACAATGAGCTATATTTGAATATATGTCATAATGCTATAGTTGCAACTTGAATGATATATAGTCAGACTCTTTAGAAAAAAGGGTATTTTCTCATTTAATGTATCTCAATCTTGACAACAATTGACCTTATTAAAAGTAATAATAATCTAATCTGAACTTGAACAAAAGAATAATAGTAGAAAGGAATATACAATCATAAAAGTGTGATATCCCTTGACCCTGTGGACCAAATTGTACAAAAATTAGATCAGATTGTAGCTCTGATTGCTCTGCACCAGATGTAATAGAAAGCAAAAAACTGCTCAAAAAATTGTTTGAGATATAAGCTAATTTTTATTAAATACTTTGAAAACATCAAAATTGTGATATCTCTTGAATCTGTTCAGCCATTGGATTGAATATATATCAAATCAATCATCTATTATGTTCTATTATAATGCTATATATATATATACTCTTGAGTCAATAGAAGTATAACTAATGTTGTGTTACTAGCAAATGGACTTAGAAGGATTTTCGCACTTTTGAGCTTACATAAGCAAAAACTCACCCAACTTCAACCATAAGTCTTTCTTTCTTTCTCTTTGTCTCTGCCTTCACTCTTCAACTTCCTTGTTGATATTTTTCCTTCTCTTTTAATTCAAGTTAGATGCTGGGGTTGATGTTGGTGCTAGTGCTGGTGCTGGTGCTGGTGCTGGTGCTGGTGCTGGTGCTGGTGCTGGTGCTGGTGCTGGTGCTGGTGCTGGTGCTGGTGTAGGGCTGAGTAAGGCTTGGGATTAGTCCTGGTGAGCATTCTACCTCTCTTCTCTTCTCTTCTCTGATTATATTTCTGCTTTTTGGCCCTTTTTGGTGAGTCTGTTCTGCTCTCCTGGTCTGCTCTCCTACTCTCTTGCTCTTGCTCTCCTATTCTCCTGCTCCTCCTACTATAGGCTCATTCTCTCCAATTTTCGCATTTTTGGCTATTTAGTAAGTCCCTTTTATTTTCCTATCTTTCCTCTCTGACTCTCTCTTATAGTAGTAGCCTTCTGCCCTTCTCCTCCTCCTCTCTTAATTTTTGCATTTTGCCTCTTTTGTAGTTATTAGTTTACATCTGTTGTAGTAGTTACTTGAAATATTACTTGAATTTTCACCTTTTTGGTGTTTTGACTAAGAATATAAATGCAAATATAGTGCACTGGAGGAAAAAAATTAAGGTGCCTCCAAACTTTGGCAGTTAAATATATGTGACTATATGTTCTCTCTATAGAGAGGAGGATTGCTTTGAATCCTATGATGTCTATAGATGCTATATATCCATATATAGCACTATATGAGCTAATATAGCAATAATTCTTTTTCCTGATGCATATATTCTTTACCTCTTAACAAGTTTCCACCACCATCTTATAGATCTTCCAACTCTAAGTCTAAATTCTGCTATGCAATAACCACTTCTTAACACTAAGCACTTGAATTGACTCAAGAGAGACATGGGTGCATTCCACTTACTAGGCTGATCCATATGGTCCTTCCACTGTTAATTGTCACTCACAGACCCAGTCATTAATACCAAGGCATCACAAACATCATGGGCCCACGCATGTCACTAAGCCTATACATGCATCTGAACCCAGTGCAGATAAATGTACCTTGAGGATTCACTTCTAAATGGATTCATTGGGAGTGCATCCAACTTGTTATAAAAATACAACAATAGCTGCACACTACATAAAGTAAGCACCCAATCAAATATAATATAATAATCTTACCAGCCTAGTCTGCTATACTTCAGAGACAAGTGCATTTGACCCAAGGATTTTGCTGTTTGGAAGCAGTCTGAATGTTAGTGATATGATGGATGGTCAATAATTTAGAAGTATGAAGCAATGTCCAAAGATATAACTATGATGTCTGACACCAAAGTGTTGGATCTAATATTCTTGGATTAGCGGATCAGTGGGCATTAGGTTTGTGGGTTATGGGAAACTATGATGAGGACTGGTAGTAATTGTTGGGAAAGCGAGCAGTATGTGTGGTAATGACCTTGTGAAGAGTTTTCTCAAAAACTCATCTTAAATGGTGTTAGCCATGTTATTACCACAATAGATTCAAAATCTGATTATCCTGGACTAAGCAGGTTCAAAACCTATATAATTGCATTTTTTTTTGTTCATTGAAATATACCTCAAACATTTGCTCATGGATTGTTGTCTCAAAAACTCATTATAATCAGTCTTAGTCAAGTGGTTGTTACAACAGAATTAAAGTCTGTTTATCTTAGACTGTGCATGCTTGAAATACACTGAGTGATACATGTTTTTGACCTGCTCAGTCCAGGAAAATCAGATTTTGACTTTTATAACTCCTGAACTAGCAACAATGAAGATCAAAGTCTAAGAAATTGTTTATGAGTAAATAGTTAATTGAGCATGTTGCAATGTGAAAAAGATATGTATCATTTGACTGATTGCAAACCTGTAGGCTTTGTTTGAAATATATTTTGAATCTATTGTGGCAATAATATGGAAAAGAGCAGTTATGATGGGTTTTGAAGAAAACTATCCATGAGCAAATATTATGGTTTAATTTCATAGAATGAAAATATCATCATCAGCAGGTTTCAAATCTGCAAAATTCAAGAGACAGATTTTAACTCTGGCGACAACTTGACTAAGACCAATGAAGATCAATGTCTAAGATACTGTTTATGAGCAAACATTCAAGGCACATTCTCATAGAAAAAATGTGACATTCAGCAGGTTGAAAACCTGCTGCATTCCAATAGAAACAGATTTTGATTCTGTTATAATAATCACTTGGCTAAACACAACTTTGATCAGCTTGCAAGCAAACCAAACATAAGCATATTTCAGAGTGTGGTTTTATAGAAAAAAAATGTTGCAAACTGACAAAAGGCAGGATAAATGTACTTTGAGGATTCACTTCTGAATGGATTCATTGGGAGCACATCTAACTAGTCTTAGCCAAGCAGTTAATATGACAGAATCCAAATCTGTCTGTGTCTGTGCAGGTTTAAAACCTGTCAAAGATGCAATCACAAGTAATTCTCAGAGTCAAAATATGTGTCTCTTGGACTGTGCAGGTTTGAAACCTGCTAATGATAATATTTTTATTTCATGAAATCACATCCTGTCCTATACCAAGCACTGTATTTTTGTGTGCACCCTATATTACATATCCATCTATTGTCCAATCCAACACTGCTGGTATATTTTCATCATTGTATTTTTATGTTATGGTGAAGGATACTACCATCTACAGACCACAATGTATAGATGCAAGAGAAGCATTCTTGCTACATTCTGCTGCAAAACTAGTATAAAGTAGTCACACTTGGGCTGCATTGAAAAAGATAAAACAGACATGAATGACATCACTTTGATGAATACGTCAAAATGTCTAACTGTCCCTATTTTCTTGCACTTGGGTCTAAGATTTTTCAAGCAGGTTTCGAACCTGCATGGTTTAAAAGAAACAGATTTTGATTTTGTTGTAACATCTACTTGGCTAAGACCAGTGATAAGAAGCTCTCAGGAAAGTACACATGAGTTGATGTAAAGGTGTGCTCTAACTGGCAAATATATATATATATTATAAGGAAATGCTAAGGTGCAATTTCATAGAATAAATATGTTATTATTGGCAGGTTTTAAACCCGCACAATCCAAGAGAAACAGATTTTGACTCTGGTAATTACTTGGCAATTTGATCTTTGGTAGGTTTTGAACCCACACAGACAGATTTAGATTCTGTCATATCAACTGCTTGGCTAAGACCAGTGAGATGCACTTCCAATGAATTCATTCAGAAGTGAATCCTCGCGGCACATTCATTTGCATTTTGTCAGTTCTTTCAATAGCATGGTCACTGTTGATTTTTTTTATTCTTGATGCAAACTTGGAATGATAAGTACAAGGGCAATTTAATTCTGTCCAAAGGTCTTAACTTGATTGAAGCAGAAGAGCAGATTCTACATCAAACTTTCAAGTTTGATCCTAATAACCTGGGGAATAAGGAAGAATACACATTTTCCAAGGCTAAGATTCAAAAGAGCCATCTGACCACTATTCACTTATGTATAAAGTTGAGGTGTACTGTAGTTAAGACTCAATATGAACTGAAGCCAAAGTACTTGCAAAGAGAGTGGATCAAATAGTATAGATGGGCTGTAGGCCGGCCAAAGCCAAGCCTAATTATGCTGAGCTGAGCCAAGCCCAAGTCAGGGCCTAACTATGGCCTAGGGTTCAGCTTGAGGTGTTAAAAAGCTCAGCAGCTCAAGCCAAGGCTTTTTGTCCCTCATTAATATCAATTTTATAGACTTTCATAGACTCAATAACATTCTAATTTGACATATACTGCCACTCATCCAGCCCAACCAAGAGTTGTGTGACCACTAATCATGAGCAACCTCACGTTTTCTCATATGTCTCATTAGACCTTTAACTCCCTCATCTCAACATCAGGATGAGGATTAGCTCAGATACTAAGGGAGATCTGGAATTAAGTCTGTTGTGTGGATGCTATCACATGCAGACTCCAATACAGAGTAATGGGTTGTGTCTAAATGCAGATTAGTGCGTCATTTATGTGCTCAAATCATTGAGATGATCCTAAAAAAACAATTCATTCCTTATCTTTTAACATCATACAGTAGTAAATATCTTCACATTGATCTTCCAGGCGCATCAATATATCAAATACCCTTTTTGACCAAGCATTGATGTTCTTCACTCTGGTACTCTTACCATAACATGTTGTATGAGTATATGTATACACATCCTGCTATGTGTTCCTACTAACAATACTCAACATATATACTCATGTATAGTTTTTAGGTCTTGATTCTTGCAATCCTTGCCATGTGGATGCACCATCATCTCTGGTAGATGAATCAACATCCACATGACACTACTGGCACCGTTGTTTCTGTTCAAGAGCCTCAAGTTTGTCACTAACAAGGTCTGTTTAATATATATATTTGCAAGGGTCTAATTAGGAAGAGAATATATAAGTATATTCTGTGCAAGGTCTATCATCAGATTATCAAATCCCTCACAATGGACCACTAAGCATTTAGCAGAAATATACTGCGAAGATAGTCTTCAAGCTGACAGAGGACTTAGAGAACACTGAGAATATTCATGCACTGTGCAGTCTCATGCAAACCATATGTGTGTTTATCTGCTGCTCATGACAATTTTTTGTTGATGATATTTCAATAATGATTTATGTTATGGGGATCAACAGATACTTGGCACATCAGAATGCTTATAAAGCATCCCGCAAAGGCTGATGCCCTCAGTGAAGCTTTGGGCAACTGGAGAAATGACAACACTATGCTGTCATCTATATTAAGACTTACAGCTTGTAGATCAGTAAGCATCCTTAGGAATACTTACCTTATGTCTATTATTTGTCATAACTAAATGCTTTTCAGGAATTTCTTTTCTATCAAGAGAGAAACCCTGAACCTGCTGATATTGACCCAAACTCAGACTCCAACACTATGTCTATCAGCTATTCCCTTGTTGTCATCTGTCTGACATCTCAGTGACAAGATCAGGTCAAGTCCCCTAGAGCACCATCCTGACACTGCCATGTTCCTAATGCCCACTTACCCTTCATGAGATCTCCTCATCTTCTTTCCTCCTCCTACTCGCATCTGTTGTCCACACTCATTTGAGCCATGTCAACAGTTGCTGATGTGTACTAGGTGTTTGTGGTGTTGGGAATGGTGTAATGGAGCTCCAGCCCATTGTCTGCAAGCCTGGTCAAACCCA